GTTTTTTGTCATAGAGATTGGTTGGGCAATGTCCAATTACCGTTTCATATATGTTTTAACAACATTTTTTTTTTGTATTTATTCTTCGAGGTTTTGGTTACTTATCCCACTCCTTGTACTTTTTTTAATAAATGTTAGTGAGTTTGAGTGTTTGAGGGTCATCCTCTAGCCCACGCCTATTCCAAATTAAGAAAAAAAAAAATAACAATGTAGGATATAACACATCCTGACATCAACTTGCTTCAGCTCCTTCACTCCAAATAGAAAGAAAAAAAAAAGCATATATATATATATATATATATATATATATATATATATATATATATATATATATATATATATATATATATATATATTTAAGGGAGAACCCATTATTCATACCAAGATGTAGGAGGAATATACATTGTGAAAGGAAGTGGGTTTTGCGCCCTTGCATTATGGTCCGCTGAAAGACAAGAGGTGCTTGTTTGTTGGTCCATGACATCATTGGCATGGGGTGGTAAGAGAGAGAGGGATTTGCTTTAGCCAATAATTAATTTGTGTTATGAAATTAAAAAATACATGTGCAATGAAATATAAAGTCAATAACACACAATATTTACGGAATTCGGCAAGTAAGCCTACATCCTCAAGGCAGCAATAGTATTTTCTCTTATTATCTAAAATAATAAAAGTACAAAGATAGTCCTCACTCTTTTTCTTTCTCTCCCTAGCCTTTCTTTTCTCTCCTCTCTTTCTTTTCTTTCTTCCGTATCTTCTCTTATATTGTTTGCCATACATTGCATGCTCTTTATATATAGCACTTACCATGCAAAAGTCCACAATGCCAAATATTGCATGTTGAAATTCCATAACCTAAATAGTAAATACTAAACTTCTTTGACTTCCATTCTTCTATTTCACATGGTTGTCTAAGTGGGCATTCACAACCATTTATAACACTCCCCCTTGGATGCCCATATATCAATATCGGTTGCCTTGTAAACCTTGCTAGGAAAAACTCAGTGAAACAAATCATAGTCGAAAGAAATAGAGTACAACACGCATGTGTCTTGGGTACTCCCCCTCATTATGCATCCTTCAATCTGACTGATTACTAAATCGACGTAATCCAATATTATGCATCAACTTCTGGAATGTCCACTTTGGTAGAGATTTGGTGAAGAGGTCTGTCAAGTTATTGTTGGAATAGATTTGTCTGACTTCAATAACTTTAGTCTTCTAAAGCTCATATGTGTACTAAAAACTTTGAAAATATGTATTTTTGAGAGATATGAAGATGTAGCAACAAATGTTTGCTTCGTTGAGTGTTGTAGGATTAATCTATTTTCATATGTAAATATAAATCTTTTATGTGAGCTATCTGTATGCAGGCTAGAGAGAGATTCAAAATTTTCTTGCCCAATAAGACAATGGCTATTAGTGAGTTATTTGGAATAGAACAAGCACATGTCTATAATTTCTCGAAGATATCAATAAATAAGCTTCACTTCATTCTAATACCTCATTTGTTGGTATTGTACTTCATAGGAAATGTAATATCTGATTCAGTGTATTATGCTAAATAGAGTAAGACACATACTTCACTAAGATATATATGATACTTTTGGACCAAGTATCAATTCAACATTTCCCTCATGAGGATGAATTATCTTTCTTAGTGTCTAAATATTGATTAATCTTTGAGTGTTCAACTCATGGTTTTCAATCCATATGGTTATCTAATACCATAAATATTTTGTTGGATAAGATTTGTGTTGGCATATTTTTCGATCTACACCTCTAGACAATATGTCATTTTAACACTTTATAAATCTTTCCAGACTCTTCAGGAGTCCCAATCTAATATCAACTCTTGCAAGAGATTTTAGTATGTTGCAACAATATCATAATGATAGTACTCACTAATGCAATTGATACCATCCATTGGTATCGAGTACATAATTTGTGTTTTACCTTCCCAGGGCTTACTTCAAGCAATTTGAATCCTTCAGGGATTTCTACACTTCATGACACATTTTACTTTGAAATTTGTATAGAGCAATTTGCTTCTATGTATACTTGAGGGAATTACTTATAGAGGTATGCTAGTGGCATTTCATAAGCCTTCATATAATATAATTCTCCACTGAAATGAATAAGTTTCACAATGAGAAATCATGTTTACATGAGTATATCACAATTTCACGTGAGTGTATTTCACTGTATAACAAATGTCATATGTAACCTTTTAGGTTCACCATTATTTCGCGATTTGTACTATAGGTCTGATTTTTCATGTTCTTACTAAATTGTAATGGAATTGCCTCTCTCCATTTTGGCCAATTTCGTCGACGAACAAAAGAATGTAGCTCAATATCAACACAACTCATTGATGAATTTAGTATCTAATGTAAAACCAAAATTGACATTGGTTGCATCATTTGTGATCCCATAATTCTCATGTGCATGCGCATGCATATTTATAAGAATTTCATTACTTTGGATATCCTTGCCTTTTCAGGGGCTTTACTTTGTCTCTTCTAGGATAGTCATCTCTTATTAGATGAAATGTTTAGAGAACTTGGATCATAACCTCCTCTAGAGTGTTATAGAGCTTGGATTTTTAATCTTCACTTCTAGGGAGTTGAATCATTGGAACTTATACGTTTATCATGCTTCAGGCATGATGTATATTAAAATTCTCATATCCATGGATTGTCCTTTTAGGACTTGAATCCATGCAGCGACTGTCATGTTTCGGGCATGCAACAGTTTAGTAGTGCTAAGTACATGGATAGTTTTATTGAGATTTCAATCTATGAGGCATCTCTGTAACTTGTTAATGCATTTGGTAGTAGTAATCCTAAAGATTGTATTACCTTCTATACATCATTGAAATGATATAAATTGGTGAGACAGAATAATAGTTGAAGTCATTCTTGTCCTTTGGTCGTCATAAACTAAGGTAGAGTTTGTTGAGGTTGTGAGTAGGATTCCCATCATTTAACTCTAGTCTTCCATTTAGTCAGCTACTCATTTTCTCTCTTTGAACTTCTATGAGTTCATCATTGATCCTTTTACTTTAGCTTTCTGCACAACAAAAGTTGTGCGCAACTAGTATGCATGTAAAGATGTTTATATGTTTTTGTTTGTTAAACAACTACATTTAACATCATGCTATATTAATTATGTATAGGTTTTTTCGCTCTTACACTTGCTTTGGTTGATGTTGAAAATGAGGACAACTAGACTTGATTTTTGATGAACTTATTTGTTGTATTATCTAAAGATGAACGTACCATTACATTCATATCGGACCGATACAAGGGATTGCTTCAATCTGTGGCAAATGTAAGTCTGGTTTAGGATAGGATCCCGACCCTAAAATGGGATCTTGAATCCCAAACCGATCCTTTTTGGGATGAAAATTTGAATCCTGATCCCAAAACGAAATTTCGGGATTCCTGAAATATTTTCGAGATTTCGGTATGGTTTCGGGATTTCAATTCAATAGAAATTTGGCTTCTTGTTAATGGAAGAAGCTAATAAATTCAATTCAAACATGCATTAAACCTGTAAATCAAGTAGGCAAAGTAGAAAAGAAATCGAACATGCAAAGCAAAAACCAACCATGAAAATCCAGAAATCCAAATCAACCAATCGACATAAAATTAATCAAGAAATCCAAATCAAAACAATCAAAAGCTCTAAATCGTAAATCCCTAATTTGTAAATCCTCATTCGAACCCTAATTCAGAGAAAGCTTCAGAAAGGATAAAGAATGAGATGGGTCGATATTAGAGACGAGAGAGCTTCGAAGATTTGAGAGAGCTTTCAACAGTAGCTCCTTCTTCTATCTGCTTCTCAACATGAAGACTGCTTCTCTCTGCCTCAAGATTCAAAACCAAAACAAAAGCCCACAATCCACACACCTTATTTTTGTTCTTTGTACTTTTTATATTATTTTTGTGCCTTTCCTTTTTATATTATTTTTGTGCCTTCTGCTAGTGGGAGCCAAGGCTCCTGCTTTTGAGTTGGAAAGGGGGAACCAAAAGCCAAAAGCCAATAGGAAACAAAAGATTTCAGGATTTCGGGATTGCCGAACAAGTGAGATTTGGAAACCAATCCCATACCGAATACTTCAGTAATTTTTGGGACGGGATTACCGAACTTCGGGATGGTTTTGGTTTTGGGATTTTTCAGTTTGGGTTCGGAACTTTTTCGGTTTGGTTTGGGAATTTTGGGAATTTTTTCCAGCCTGAGGCCGTTTCCCTACTTCTCCACATGGATTTTGTATTTACCACATAGAAAAGAATACTAAGACCACATATCCTGTTGATTTAGGGAAAAAGTTTCATAAGAAAATTGTCGAATTATTCAAGAACTGTGCTTATTCGTCCACTCCATAAGTGTTTGAGGTAAACATGCAAATTTTGAGAAAAAAATGGTGGTGAACTAATTGGCAAATTTTTGGAGGACTTGCCCAAAGAGAACTATTCAGATGCAATCTTCTTAAGTGTCAGGTACATTTGTTATATTGAGTATTAATGAAGAGGTGTTTGTGTACATGATTTGGTTTAAAACCTACTTTCCTACCACTATTCATTTTCTTCATTTCCCCCATCCCCCTTCTCTTTTTATGCTTTCATTGAACCATATAATTTTTAGGAGTTCTTAGTTAGTATGAAAAGTTGGTTATGGAACAACATAATTTTAGGATTATGCACTGTTTTGATTGACAATTTTTATTTGGCAAGTACGGTGAGATGTGGTGTCGAGCCATTCAATTCTTGGATTAGGAAAGAACGATTATTACCAATATTCCAATTGGTAGAAAGGAATGCTTGATTGCATTTGCACATGATTCGTAATAAATACCCTTATCGCATGGATTAGCAATCAAAGCTCTTCTCTGCTCACTCTTGTCTACAATTTTCAAGTTTGAAGGACCGACGGAGCGGTAAGAAGACTAGCTTTTCATCTTGCCATTCCATTCTTATTCTGAGTGAAGAGTTAAAATGATGGTTACCAATACTGACAGACGTATTGCTGCAGAGAAATTGAATTCTTATTTATGCCCCGAAATGGAGAAACAATTGGATAAGTTATTGGAGGTGGGAAGACATTGGCACATTAGTCGGTCAAGCGAGTTTGTATCTGAAGTACATAGTTATGATTTGGTGATGGTGGACTTGGAAAATGGTATTATTCATGTCGTCAATGGCAGGTTAAAGGTTTCCCTTGCTCACATGCAGTTGCAGCTATCGTGCAGAACGAGCAATGCTTATGATTACATTAAAGACTATTTCACATCTGATTATTATAAGTCTTCGTATTCTTTTCCAATTGAGCCAATTCCTAACATCCATCAACCCCCACTTGATATAGTGAAGGATTTTTCCATCAAGCCTCCAGTGACAAGAAAACAACCCAGTAGACCAAGAGTCAAGAGGATTAAGTCTAATGAGGAAGAACCAACATCAATGAATTATGAGAGGTGTAAGTAGCTTGGACACCTAAGAACACTTGCCCAGCACCCTTTTGATTATCATTCATATCTATCATTTTTTTTTTAAATTTGCTTGTGCTGACTATGGTTTTACATTTTCTTTGGAATACTGGAACTTTATTTTAATCACGCATTTTTTAATTGGTAATAAATCATTATGTTTTTTTTTTTTTATCATTTCTTTGATAGGTTCGATATAGAATAATAGATTCCACCTTAGTTCCGTTTTGAACTTTTCCAAAACGTACCAAAAGCATTGTGTCAAACTACGAATAAGTTTAATAGTTGAAAATGGCGATCAAGGCTTTCGACTTCAGAAGATGATCAAAACCAAACAACATATTATATTCATGTTTAGGCCAAGCACACTTTCTCTAGGCTGATACGTTTTAAAAATAAAAATTTCACATACTAAACGTCTAGTATGATCTAATTTAATATTATTTCATGAACCAAACGATCAATATGTATCAACATAACATTAAGTAATGTACCAAACTCCTAGTACATTACAAACAAACTTTGTATAACATTTCTCTAGGCCTATATGTTTCAAAAATAAAAATTTTACATACCAAATGTTTGGTACAATCTAATTTAATATTATTTCATGAACCAAATGATCAATGCATCAACATAACATTAAGTAACATACCAAACTCCTGGTACATTTATATGCACACTATATAACGTTTTGTCAGACCGATACGTTTCAAAAGTAAAAACTTTACGTACCAAATGTTTGATACGATCTAATTTAATATTATTTCATGAACCAAACTGTCAATATATGTCAACATAACAATTAGTAATGTACCACACTCTTGGTGCATAATATATGCACATTGTATAACGTTTTGCCAAACCGATGTGTTTCAATAATAAAAAATTTATGTACCAAACATTTTGGTACGTGTAATTTAATATTATTTCATGAACCAAACGATCAATATGTGTCAGCATAATATTAAATAACGTACCAAACTCTTGGTACATTACAAATTTGCAATCTAATAATGTACCAAATTAAAAATGTAACGGTATATTTGAACCAATGCACAAATAGAAATAAAATAGCATAAATTCGACTTACATTTTTAACAGTGCAAAGGAAATAACTTACAAGTACTTTTCAATCAAACTCTCTACTAAACCAAAATATTGTCATAATGAAGGTCCAACCAAGTGCATCATTGGAATGTAATTGAAAAGATAGCAATTCGACTAGTACTTATATAGTAGCATTTTGCCTACTGTTGGCTCCAATTAAGTTCATTGTTTTCGAGACTGCTTACTATTTTGGCTCTCATTTCCTTCATGTCATCGTCTTCAAAATGTTCGAAAATAGATATGTCATTAGTCAAGCTCTCTATGATGTTTATAACTGCAACACCACAATCTAATCTGCAATAGATAAATGTTAGTTACACACACAAAGCAATGATAGTGTACATATTTATGTACTTATGAGCCTGATTCTTGTTGCTGGTTATGTAAGGTTCCCTGCATTAGGATATCAAGGTCCATGCCATTTAGAATCTCCAAAGTTGCTATTTCATTGTCATTTAGAGGTTGTTTGATAGCACCAGCACCACTTATAGTGTTGGTACGTATAACTACACGTTTGTTATTTTTTCACTACGCAATGTCAACTTTGCTCCTTTCTTATGATGAAGTAAGAATGTCATTATATCTTCCTTTTGTAATCACATACAAAAACCTTGTTAATTCATCTAAACCAATCATATTTTCAACGTACCAACAAGGGTATAGAATGATCACCATTTTTTCTGCATATTTATAGCATGGATTATAAGCAATTCCACTTCTTGGCAGTTTTTTATCATAGTGTAGCCACAACATGTTAGGCATGTGGAGGATAAGTAAAATGAAGTGATATTACTCATCATTCCTCAAGGGGAAGAATAAAGGTCATACTTGCCATACTCGTTTAACAATAAAGAACCTTTTGTACTTTTGAGATATCATTCATCTTGTGGTATTCCTATTTTGACATGATCATAACAAATACATAATGAACTACTTATAACATTCAATAAGTAAAAAAAAAAAATTTAAAAATCTGCCAACATTTGTAAAAATAATAAACCCAAATATGCAAATATCATTTCAATACATATCGAGACAAGAATGGTCACTTATGTTTCAATTTCTTATCATTTGCTAGCCTAGTAAATAGCACTTCCGCGTACGCATCTATGGTCTACAAGTACAATACACTACATAGATTTTTCTTTTACTAATCTTTATACCTTCAACTGACCCATTAATCACCTGCGTGGTGATTCCCTTGTTTGTGGTTAGAAACTTTACATCCTTTTGCATTATTCGAGTTGTCTTTCCTGACCATAATATATCATGTTATACATGGTACAATAAGTATAAGACATGTTAAGTACAATGCTCCAATTGAATTGCATAAATGTACATGTACTATAATATGACTATACAATGGTGTATATGATTACTTACCCTGAATACTCGCTATTTATGAAGTTTTGAAGGCATTTATTACCATCTTCATCAAATATGGAACTCACAAACATTTCAAACAGAACAATATATATTTTTCTCAAGACATTTTCTTGCAACCTTCTTCATAACATAAGTATCACAATCTATCTCCTCTGTAATTGGATCATGAGGTGGTAGGCATCCAGATGGCTTCATCTCCTTTCCTTTCTTTGCTTTTTCATTATCTACATTACCAACATTCCTCATTGATTCAACAAAACCATAATTTTTGTGTTTCACATAGTCCATTTTTTTTTTTGTATTTGCATATTCATAGTACATTTTTTGAAGTACCTTTTGCACATGTTTTCTTTTCACTCTTCTGATTATGGATTCTATTTTTGGATATGCTTGTTTTCTTTCATTTGCTTCATCCAATTCAGATTCAGTTGTAGCCAATGCCTTGCTTAACATAATAGTTTCTACATCAGCTTCTTCACCCCTAATATTCATCGCTCCAACTCCTTCAGAATTTCTTTTTTCAGCACTAAGTTGATCTATGTTTTCCACTCCATCCATGCCATTCGGTGTACTTGTTCAAATATTTATAGTTGGGAATTGAATTAACTTGGAACTATATCCCATGTAGGTGCTTCAAATTGAGAACTTCTTGTCTTCACACTGCACATGTTATTTTTAATGTTGTTTTCTATAGATTTGGATGTAGGAGTATGTAATATAGGTGAAATAGGTACAATCAAATGTGCAACAACTACGATCCCAACATCTTTAAGCACATCATTAATTTGTTCGTCTTCATCTTGCTTAATAGGATCATCTGCCTGAATTTCTATATGTATTTCAGACAATGCATCATCTTCATCATAGGCCTACATCAACAAAACCCCCACCACTTAGGTTTCAATAAAATAAAAATGAAACAAACAAACATATCAATTCAAATAAATTTTAAAATGTACCACCATAAGTTGTTAGATTAATGTTTCACACAACTGATAAAAGGTTTTATATCTTTTTATTTCTTCATGACAAATAAATGATGTTGATCCATTTGGTGTTCAATGTTAGGTTCTTTCAATAATATAATGTCGGTACATTTTTTTTTATAACGATTGACTTTAGATAGAAAGAATTCAAAAACAGATCATAAAAACAATGAAAGCACTCAACAAAAATATATGATCATCCATTTAGTTTCAATGTAATATGCAATAAATAAATAAAGTTAATAAAAAAAAACATAATGTCATTATGCAACATATATAAACATAGTACCAAAGTTTTCAAGTCCATGTTGATTAATGTTTTGTAGAGTTGTACCAAACTCCAGCTTACAAAGTTAGGTAGTTTGTTCTCTTTACCAACGATGGGGGTAAGTAGTCTTGTTTTTCCACCATACCAAAAGTCTAAAACCTAAATAGTAGGATAATCCATCAGACTCAGTAGACATAACACTTTTAAACAAAAGAAGAAAAAAAACACTACGAAAAACTTACCAACAAAGCTAGAACACATCATATTACTAAGTGTGGCTTACTGGCATATGTACAAGAGATTTGTTCAAACATTCAGCAATCGTCATTGCCCAATTATATGTTTGAATTTGATCCAATTTCTCACATATACCCATAAGTTTCCACAAAATTTGGGTAGAACTATTGCACAATAAGAGTGTGTTACAGAAATCAAGGCACATCAAACGTGCAAAGTCTAAACGCTCTTCATTTGATCTTCTTGCAACTACATTTCTTAGGGATACCTCAATTTTAGTCTTGGTAACACGGTCGACCACATCTGAGAAATATTTAGACATGAATATTGTTTTCTTTATTTTCTCTCTTGGCGTGCCCGTGTATTCCAAATATTTCCCCTTATTAGGAATGCCGAATACAAAGCACCCTCGGTCTTTGTCATATTATTCGATTATCAAAAATGATACCATTGTCCAAAGCACTAAAGTGCTTGGCTGTCACAAGCTTATCTCTGTATGCCCGGTATAGTCTCCAAAATGGTGTTGCCTTCATATGAATATTGTGTCCAACTTTAACATATTCTTTAATTGTACCATACAAACCAACAAAGTGTAGAAGATTTGATCGGTAGTTCATGCTCCCATTCTTAGTCGTTGGTAACGCCATCATGTACCTGAAATAGTTTTAATCAGTAGTTGCTACAATAGAATAAAAACAAGTACGCAAACTAAATAATTGGATCATCCAGTCACAATGATAATCAATCCTCAACATTTATCTCTTTTTTTTTTTTTTTTTTTTTTTTTTTTTTTTTACATAAAGAAGAAATCTTACATGATAGAGATAAATGCTTCTATTTTACTATTTTCTTTCAACTGCTAATGCATAAAGGGTTTAGGTTTATCTTTTCCAGTGTGTTTTGAGGACAAAAGGAAAATATGTTTAATGTTTGCACCTTAGCTATTTCAATCTGGGAATGGAATTAACTAACTTAGGAGCTATAAATATTGAAAAGCAGCCAATATTTGAAGAACCAAATAATTTGTACCAATTTATATATACAAAATCAAAAAGAATTTCCACAAAAAGAACCATACCAAAATGGACCAATCAAAAATGACAATCAGCTATAAAATTCCCACAAAAAAAAAATCGAACCAAAATGTAACAATAAAAAAATTCCCCATAAAGAATCGTACCAAAACGTACCAATCATTCCCATTGCTACTGTAATATAATAACATAACAAAAAAAAATAGCAAAGTTAAACCAACTACTGAACGATAACAAATGTACCAACCAAAGCCAACGCACAAAATAAACAGAACCTTCGACTTCAAAAGATGATCAAAACAACGCACCAATAATTTGAATAAAAAACAAAAATTGGAACCTCAATAGCAATGCCGACCTTGACAGGGAAAGACGGCATTTGAAACTTACAGTACGTTCATTGATGGGAAGAATGTGATCATTCAAATCAACACTTATCTTGAAGCAATCTTTTGTGTCGGTCCGATAAGAATCTAATGGCTAGTACCAGCAAAGAGCAAAAACTGAAACTGAAAAACCACACAACGTACCAGCCTCAAGCTCTTCACAAGAGCAAATTAACATGATGAATATCCTTAAATTCAAATCCTTCTTATCTGAGACATTAGTTTGCAAGAATCTTGGAACCTCCTTTCTTTTCACATGAAGAAGCTAAACAACAAAATCTAATTTGTTAAAGGCTATGGCAGGTCATGTAACTTAGGTACATTAGAATGGGTTAATTAAAATACACATGGCACCACAATTGTAGGAGATTGTATAATCAAATTGTTAAAACAAGCAGATGTTTAATTTAAGAAGCCTAAAAACGAGGAGGCTACATAAAAACGCCTCAATCTTAAGTTTTCGCACAAAAGTTCACATATTCGAACCTAATTTGGCATCAAATTCGCCATTGACGAGATTCGAACCTAAGACCTCTCTCTTACAAATAAAAAGAAATATCACCATATCGTAGTACTGAATGGTAACAATATTCATTGTTAGACTCGCTTTTTGCGAGTTCAGCTAGGAACCCCAATTTCAAGGGAATATACTCTCGAAATATCTAAAAAGCAATAAAAACTTAACCAAACTCCAAAATTTTATAAATCTATTAAATTTCTTAAAATTCAAATTAAATGCATAAACGAGACAAATTTGAGACAAGCTGTAGGAACTCGAATTATATCAAGCGGATCTACAGCCCATGCAAACAAAACAAACACATGAGACAAACAGGACAAATATTTTGGATGTCCCTAAACCCAACCGGCATCTAATTGAAAGAAAATGTTATTAAAACGCATTAAACATTAATCAATACTAGGAGAGATTCATCTCCTTCCCGATCCCCAATTTCAGAAAAACATCACCCAATTGTCCGAAGTCCCAAAATCCTACGACTAAATAATCCAATGGCACAAGACAATCCCACCCAACTCCCTCAAGTACTGCTTCTTCTCCCAAATCCCTGCTTCACAGTCCTGGAGTCCAAAGCCTCTCACAAGTTCCACTTCCTCAAAGCCTGGGACTCCCCTCTCCCTCAGGCCCAGTTCCTCCAGTCCCACGCTCTCTCCACCCAGGTCCTCCTCTCCTCCGCCCTCGGACCCCCCATCACCGCCCAGCTCCTCCAATTACTTCCCTCCTTGAAGCTCCTAATCACCCTCAGCGCAGGCCTTGACCATGTTGACTTTTCCGCGTGTGCAGCACGCGGCGTGCGCATTGCCAATTCCTCTCCAATCTTCGCTGCCGATGTCGCTGACATGGCTGTGGGGTTGTTTTTGGATGTCATGAGGAAGATTTCGGCGGCTAATCGGTTTGTCCGAGATGGGTTTTGGGTTAGCAAAGGAGATTTTGATCTCGGTACTAAGGTCATAACTTCTTAGCTTACTTGAATTTAATCGATAAGTTTTTTTAGTGCTTCAGAACATCAGATACTTGGGGCATTTCAATCTATAGAAGCCTACTTTTTATTTGTTTGTTGGTGATGTGATGTGAAAATTAAAGATTGTCATTGTCAAAATACAGATTTTGATTGATTGGTTTTTATTTGCTTTTAATTCTTCTACGTTACATCAGCGTATGTGAATCGTGATGCTCCAGTTTTATCAACGGCTACAGCTGCTAGACTGAAATATTTAGATTAGAGCATGCAAATTCCGCTCTCTATTGAAGCAATGAATCCTATTTACCGGTGCATTGTAGAAAGTTTTTTTGGTGGGGAGCCTGAAATTGAATTTGGCTCTCCTCTCCTTATCATGTCAAATCATTGGTATGTAATATAGTGGGGGCTATATTACAAATGAACAGAGTTTGGAGGATAAGGAGTTTTCACACAAATGGGAGCAGTTTTTATAATTATGTTATGTACTGAAATTTGCATATAGATACTTAAACTATGAATCTATCTTTTCCTCTTTTTCTTTGTGATAGCAATTTAAAGCGGTTTTGATGATTGGAAATTTCAGATAGGAGGGAAGCGAGTTGGTATCGTTGGATTGGGACATATTGGCTTACAAGTTGCTAAAAGACTTGAGGCATTTGACTGCAAAATCTTGTACTACTCAAGGAAGGAAAAACCATATGTTTCATACCCTTTCTATTTCGATGTTTGTGAACTTGCAGCTAATAGCGACGTGCTTGTCATTTGCTGTGCGTTGACTGCTCAAACGCACCACATGATTAACAAGAAAATCTTGTTGGCGTTGGGAAGAGAGGGAGTTATTGTTAATGTAGGGCGTGGAGCTATTATCGATGAGAAGGAAATGGTACAGTGTTTGGTACAAGGAGAGATCAAAGGTGCAGGCTTGGATGTGTTTGAGAATGAGCCTCAAGTTCCGAAAGAGCTCTTTGGACTAGGTAATGTTGTTTTGTCGCCACATAAAGCTGCCATGACAGCAGACTGTTTCACGGATTTGACTGATCTAGCAATGGCGAATTTGGAGGCATTCTTCTCAAATAAACCATTGCTTTCTGAAGTGACGAATGATTGAATAGATTTCTATTCACAGGTCAGTGCCTTGATAATTTTGTGTACCAACTTGCTTGCAATACTTAGTTTTTTTGCTATTAAGTTGGTACGAGCACTTTTCTGAGTGTACGCTGGGTACAAATAGTTGATACAATGAATAAGGCAACGAGAGAAGAGAAGGATGAAGAAGTGTCATATTGCTATTGGTATTTATTTGCAGACTTGTATGATTTACAACAAATAAGGCGACGAGATGATAATGACGGATTGATTATTATATTCTCAATCTGATTTCATACCTTGTGAAATCCTATATAGCCTTGTAATTTTTTTTATCAATGAATCAACTTAAATGTGTGTAGTTTACCACTCAAACACATGGTTGTTTCTGTACATTTTCTTTTTATCTAAATTACTTGTATGTTTTGTAAATTGACACTTCACCGGTTGCAAATTGAAACGAAGAACACGAACTAATAAAGTAATAAATGAATACAAACCCACTCGCACTCGATCATTAGACTCATCGCACATAAAAGAAAAACCCTCTATATGATGTTGGTCACCAAGCTCTTCCGCCAAAAGCCAAACCCACTCGCACTCCTTCTCACGCACCACCTCTCCACCCCCTCAAAACTCCACCACCGCTACCCCTTCAAACCCCTACCCCGTCCTTCCAAACCCCTAACACCATGACCTTAACCCTGACCATATCTCCAAGAAAAAGCAGAAACCCCAGTACCATCTGCCGCCGTCCCTCCGCCGTACGGGTCAAATGCCTATACATTAACCCACCAATAAGGTCCATCGGGCTGCGAGAGCCCAAGTACTCACCTTTTGGGCCAGGGCGAATCGGTCACGAATGGATCGGGTTGTGTGCTCCGGCCGTGGACCTGAAGGTGTGGTCGGTGGAGTGGACCTCAAGAAATGACTCTTCAACAATTAGACAAGGAGATTTTCAATTCTATCTTGGGTTGTTTCTTTACTCCATGGAAAATAGGATGGTTGAAGCATATGAATTAAATTCCTTACAGCTCAAGCAACTGCATGAATTGCTGGGACATTTTGAATCCATATTTGTCTTGCTTACTAAATTACCTCCCAATAGAGTTCATGACCATCTTTGTCTTGCAATTTGATAATTTTGTGCCTTCATAATTTTGTGTACCAATTTGATTGCAATCCTTATGTTTTTTCGCTATTAAGTTGGTACGAACACTTTTTTGAGTGGATGCAGGGTACAATTAGTTAATACAATGAATAAGACAACGAGAGAAGAGAAGGATGAAGTGTCATATTGTTATTGGCATTTGTTTGTAAAGCTATATGATTTACAACCAATAAGGCAACGAGATAAGGCTAAATAGCCAAAATGGTCCCTGAGATTTGCATAACTCATCACTTTGATCCCTAACATTTCAAATCGATAAAAGTGGTCCCTGAGATTGTCCACCATCCATCATTTTGGTCCTTCCGTTAAAAACTCCGTTAAGTATCTTGGCCGGAAGTTTGGGCAATTTTCAAAGCTTCGTAACTCCATCGTTTCTTAACCAAATTCAACCCATAATATATCAAAATGAAGATAGGAAAGTGTAGAATAAGATTATACCTATTTGGAAGCCCAATGGCTGCCAGAGATAGCCGGAAAATAGCCTCAAAGTTGACTGGTCTGAAGGAAAACTGGAAAACTTGCCGGAAACTGGGTAAACTTTAAACGTTCATAACGTCTTCAATACTCAACGAAATCAAGTGATTCAAAAATGAAAATCATACTTCTTGACGAGATGAAGAGAATGGTATCTTTTTTAATGGCTAAATCGTAGTGGTTTGGCCGGAAAACGGCTCGAAATTGGATGTCTTGGTCTCGAGTTAGCCACTTTCGAGCCGCTTTCTGGCCAAACCATGGCAATTTAGCCATAAACAAATGTGCCATTCTCTTCGTCTCATCGAGAAGTATGATTTTCGTTTTTTAATCACTTGATTTCGTTGAGTGTTGAAGAAGTTATGAACGTTTAAAGTTTACCCAGTTTCCAGCGAGTTTTCCAATTTTCCCTCGGACCAGTCAACTTTGAGGCTATTTTCCGGCCATCTCCACTTTCCTATCTTCATTTTGATATATTATGGGTCGAATTTGGTTAAGAAACGATTGAGTTACGAAGCTTTAAAAATTGCTCAAACTTCCGGCCAAGAGCTCCGGGACACTTAATAGAGTTTTTAAATGAAGGACCAAAATGATGGATGGTGGACAATCTCAAAGACCACTTTTATCGATTTGAAATGTTAGGGACCAAAGTGATGAGTTATGCAAATCTCAGGGACCATTTTGGCTATTTAGCCATGAGATAATAATGACGGATTGATTGTTATATTCTCAATCTGATTTCATGCCTTGTGAAATCAATATAGGGAGCCTTGTAATTATTGATCAATGAATCAACTTCAATGTTTGTAGCTTACCACTCAAACACATGTTTCCACGAATATTTTCTTTTTCTCTAAATTACTTGTATGTTTTCCAAATTCACACTTCATTGGTTGCACATTGAAACCAAGAAAAGGAACTAGAACTATTGATCGATCCATCCCCTTTTCAGTCACTCTGTTTGGCCTTGGATACACCTCGGACAACTCCCCTTGTGTGTATGGTGAAAGTGATGATTAACTTGATAGATGCCTTTGCGGGGCTTTGATTAGGCTCTCATGCTATCTATCAAAACCAAATGAATGTTGAGCGTGCCACTATTGGCTAAGACCAATAGATTGTGGGTTATTCGAGCATGACTCGATTGATTACTTGCGCCACATGTAAAATGACTTCTTTTATCAAGGGATTGTTTATGGAGGGGTTAAGTCCATAAAAGGTCCCTTTTTTTGCCTTGAGATCAAGGATTTGTGTTGATGTTAATTACCAAGTTTTAATTAGGTCAAGATTATCAGGTTTAGTCCATAGTTTCATTAGAATTGATAGAAAACAACCAAAAGTAGAGCGACAATGAAGGTTTTAAGCAATAAATAAGCAGAACAATTCATGTTAAAACATAATAAATGAACTCAAAAGTGAGCACAAAGTAAATAAAAGCAGTATTTAATGCATTAGAAAGTAAACAAGTGAGTTCGGGCACGTTATAAATCTCGTCGGGCTCGAATCGTTGCCTCTCGAAACACTCATTTTGCAAATTTACAGAGTATGGGCCAGCTTTGGAAAAAAGGGGTGCAGTAATGGCTGCAAATTAAATCGATACTTGCGAGAAGGCTGAAAGAAAGCTATAACTAAAGGGAATGACTGGGGGTGCAAAGAGAATGTAAAGAAAATGATAGAGCTTTTAAGTGTTTTTCTGCGTTTAGTGTCATTTTCTTCGTGTTCTCTTGTAGCTTTTATAGCACATTTCTCCGTCTGGATTAAACCCTCTTGGGTTGATGTGACAGGCAAGTGGTGATTTCACACTTAACCCTCTCCAAATTACGGGGATTTTACCCCCTAAAATGGTGTTTTTGCTTTCTGCAAAACCCTTCGTAATAATCCCTATCATATCCAGTTGCATAGGTTTGCCGTCCATTTCTGCCACATCAGCTAATATCTTGAATTATGGGCCGAGCTTCCTTTTTCAGCTTTCCTTGCTTCAAAGGTCTAGTGCCTTCCTATGGATTTGCGTGCGTTTGAGTCACGCTTCAGGCCTAATGTTCAATTTGGGTCCAAACACATTTTGTCGTTCCAACTTCCAAGCTAATCATGATAATCTTCTTTTACTTGTTTCTTTCTAAATTGTTCCTTAAATTGTTGAGAAACAACTATAATCATACACTCTAGAACGATCTGACAAATGAAGGTTCGCCCCAAATCGTAGCCCTAACTCATCCAAATCGTACTCCCTCAAACGATCTCCCATCGTTTCCTGTTATTTCTCCACTGTCAAAGCCTCATTTCTCGTTGAGCATGGCTGCTCTCAACCCTAGACTACATCGTCAAAAACCCTAACCCTACTTTCGCTTGACTCTTTGGAAGCCTCCTTTCGAGGCGCTTCATATTTTTTTTTCCTCCAATAATGATTATTAATACAAATTGTAAATTTACACCTCGACTTTTATAAACTCACTTAAAATTCAGATTGAATACACTACACAATTTTAGAGAATCGTTTAAAATCTTGATTGAACATCTAAAATTTTAGAGAATCTTTTAAAATCTTGATTAAACTTTGATTTCAGAGTAATGTTTGAAACTTTGATTGAACACTTTTTTTGAACAAATTTACAGCTACCTATTTTGAAATTTCAGTGTAAAGTTTGAAACTTTGATTGAACCTAGTAAAATTTTGCCCCAAATTACATGGGCCGTTTGAAAGTTTTAACTGTTTTGGGATTGTCCCAAAGATTTTAGCTTTCTGATTAAATCAAGCCTTGTTACATTACAAAAGTTTTTGTGAGAGTCACTGTTGAAGTAAAAAATTGTGTGCCAAAAAGAAAAATAAGTGAATAAAAAATAAATGGAAACGGTCCTTGCATTCAAGAAAAGTGGAGATGTTAGTGGCAATTAAAATCAACAATGGAGATTAACATACAGAAATCTAAGCCACCCATTTACAAGAAAGTAAATGAATAAATCAGAAAGTGGAGACGTAATCCTCCCACTTTGTTCCCGATGTACAAATCAAATAAACACTCAAATCCTCAAGTTATGATTCATTCAGATTGGAATCAAAGGGTTTTTACTTTTTAACGAAGAATTGTAATTAATAGACGCATAGTTTATAATGGATCGAACTCAAATTAATAAAACCTCCTCACAAAATGAACGAAAATGAAATTATGTCGAATTAATTATTTGTTTACATCTTATGTACAGTTTTTGCTCAACAGACACATTCAAACCACCACTAAAGAAGGTTCAATTTCTGCAGAAGTTCGTCCTCCCATGACAAGCAGTGCCCATTCAAATCCATAACCAAGCGTTTTCTTTTAAACAAAAAAAATTCAAGGGAAAAGGTAAAGGAGCACGACACACATGAAATTAAGATTGATGTCTGATTAAAATCTTAAGTTTTGGCACAAAACTTCACAAATTTGCAGTCTTGTCTGATACAAAACGACTAGAAATTTGGGGATAAATGCACTGTTCCAACGCTGCCGCCTATGCCTCGTTTAGGTGTTAGGCGGCTGGTCATCGCCCCTGATTAACTTCAAGATGTTTGAAAATTAAGAAAGAGCACTAGAATTGCTTAGGTGCCAGCCTAGTCCTATTTAGGCGCCCACCTAGCTCACGTAGACCCACCTAGGTGGCGACTCTTAGTAGATATAGAAGGTGTGTTTGTTTGGGTTAACATATGCGGCTGGTCATCACTCTGATTAACTTCGAGTTGTTTGAAAATTAAGAAAGA